TCCTCTCTTCTCCTCTTTCTCTCCCCTTCCTCCTCCCTCCTCTCCTCCTCCCTCCCTCCTCCCTCTCTCCCTCTCTCTCTCCTCTCTCTCTCCTCCCTCCCTCCCTCCTCTCTCCCTCTCTCTTTCTCTCTCTCCCTCCCTCTCTCCCTCCTCCCTCCCTCCCTCCTCCCTCCTCTCCTCCCTCTCCTCCCTCCTCCCTCCCCCCTCCCTCTCTCCTCCCTCCCTCCCTCCCTCCCTCCTCCCTCCCTCCCTCCCTCCCTCCCTCCCTCCTCCCTCCCTCCCTCCCTCCACGGGCTGTTTCCCCGTGAGTCACACCTTCCCTGTCATGCGTGTCAAGCATTTTGGATGTATATCTGTTTCATCTTCGCGTGTGTCACGAGAGGGGCTGGGACACAGTGAACTTTAATACCATTTTTTAAAAATTTTCTTATCATCATTTGTATTACATTATTGTTTGTTGTTGTTGTTAGTTGTTACAATTATCATGACTGCTGTTATTATTATCGTCGTTTATTATTAGCAACACTATCATTGTTTTTTTTTTTATTATTATTGTTAGTATTACAATTACTATTATTATTATCAGTAGAGATTTTATTATCATTATCATTATTTATTTTATTTATTGTTATATTATTATCATTATTGTTGTTGTTGTTGTTATTATTGTTATTATTGCTATCATTATTATTATTATCATCAATTATTATTATTATTATCATTCATCACATTATTATTATTATTATTATTATTATCATTATTATTATTATTATTATTTACTATAATCATTATTATTATATCTTATTACTATTACTTATGTCTATCATATCATTGTTATGATTATCATCACCATCACCAATAGCTTAATTATTATCATTGCTATTATGATGAAGATGATGATAAATATTATTGTTATCATTGTTGTTATTATCATTACTTTTGATTTTATCAATATTATAATTATAATTATGATTGTCATTATCCTCATTATTATTATTGTTATTGTTATGTTGTTATTTTCATTACTATTATTATGATTGTTGTTATCATTTTTCTTACCATTGTCAGTATTTTCATCATCTTTATTACTACTACATTATTGTTAATATGTTTTTATATCCATTTTATTACATTATTACTATTATTACCATGATTTTATTATCACTGTTATTTATTATCATCAATATTTATATCAATTAATCATCAATTATCATCAATGTTATTATCATTGTTATCATTATCCTGTTATTGCTGTTGTATTTGCGTTATTATTACTATATTAATTATTATATTATTACTATTATTATCATTATTATTACTATCATTATCATTATTATTACTATTATTATTATTATTAATTATTATTATTATTATTATTATATCATTAATGTTATCATTATTATTAATATTATTGTTATATTTATCATTATTATCATATACATATATGTATATATATGTATATGTGTATTATTACATGAAACCCATCAAAATTAGTAAATTAAATCTTATTAAAAAAAAAAGATATATATATAATGAACGAGCTAAGATGCCCTAGAATTGGCTGACAACCCTGTTTGTTTACTCGTCTTCTCCCCCCCCCCCCTACCGTCTTAAGGCCTACCCGAGTTCCTTGGGAGGTTTGCCTCGTTCACTCCTCCACCGCCATAGGCCTGGGCAAGACCTCTGTCATTGTTCTGCCATTTTTATTTATTTCGGGGTTTGTATTCTGTGTTAGGTTTAGGGCGATACATTAAAGTTTATTAATGTATTGCGTAGGCAGGGTTCTTTTGTTTATTGTCTGATTTCGTGTGCTTTTCGTCTGTTGTTTTGTTTACCTTGGTGACGGAAGAAATAATAAAAATAAGTGGTAAATATCGAGTTTACGTATTATTCCATTTTAACATAAATGATTTTACAATTACTAATTAATGATCATTAATGGTATACAATTCTTGATTAACAGTGAAAGATAATTAACATAATAAATAACGTATAATGAAAGATGAATAATGATTGACCAAGTGACTTTAATGAATTAGTTTGTATATAAATCAGAAAGGAATATAACATAATACAGTTAAAGAAAAGAATACATCATTGATAATGAACCTTGAAGAAAATAACATTAATGGGAGAAGATAAATAAATGAACAATGAACAAAGTGAATGATTATAATAACTTGACGGCATTAATGAGCCTTATATGGAATGAAAAATGAATTAATACAAATGAATTAACTAGAAGAATATTTACAATCACTAGTACTTTAGCACGAGCTGTTGTTACGTGGTATTCAGCCGTTCATACCAGGCCATATCCTTCAGATTTGACTTCGCGTCTGATTTTGGCTTCCGCATTGAGAGAATTCGAGTTCAGCGGAGCTGCTCTTTCCCCTTAATTCTCTTAGTGACATACCAGCCGTAACAGTATATATATATATATATAATATATATATATATTATATATATATATATATATATATATATATATTATATATAA